TTGACCATTTTGCCCTTTTGATGATCTGATCAAATTTCTTGAGGAATTATGATCCAAACTTGATCAAATGACATATATGAGTTCATAATGTTGACATGAGAAATCTTGAGGGTCCAAAATGATCCATGAAAGTCATATGGGGCATTAAAAGTTCATTTGTCCTTGTGAAAACTCAAACCCTAATTTTCAGTCATCAGTGCTTGAGGAGGTGTCTTGAGCTGATCAAACCTTGTGCAGTCTTGAATCAATGGAGATCTTGTGAGAGATTACTTGAGAAATGAGAGGGAAAATTTTGGGGTACAACACCATCGCAGATCAAGTGAAAGGGAAACGAACTCGACCCAAGCCCTCGACTACACGCTAAAGCGGACCTATTACATTGGGAGGACATGTTGTCGGGGGGATCACTCATCGAGCGAGAAGCCCGAGATAATCCCTATGTTCGAGGAAACAACCCATGTTATAGACATTGTTCGGGGAAGTCGCCCCGACACTATAGCTAATGAACGTTCATAGTGTTTGGCACATTCATGAGTGCTCGTCACGGAATCCATGAACTCCAATGAACATTCATGAGTATTCATCATAAAACTCATAAATGTTCATCCAATTAAGGCATAATTTTGACATTTAATCCAGAAACGCTTAAGAAATATGGTGTTAAGAGGTTATAACTTACTTGGATGAAGAACTTAAAGAGAATCTGAGAAGTTGAGAGAATTGCTTCGCACAACGAGCAAGGAAATCTGGGAAGTTGAGAGAATCGCTTCACACCACGAGAAAGAAAAGGTTGAAATGAAACTTGAGAAGATGACAAATGAAACCCGGGGGCCCCTTTTATAGGTGACCCACGCCCCAAGGGGTCCCTCATGAAAGGTCATCATTTTATTGGGCCTTTTTGCTTTTCCCTTGAAGGGGTGACACCCCAAAGCATTATCCATGTGGCTCAACTATCAACCACGCGTCCCTTCTAGACTGACGAGCATACGCCCGAATCCTACGCGTCTTCCCACAGACGGCGCCACCGATCTTACCGGATCAGAAATGGACCATCATAGATGGCTCGGGCAGAAGTCAAATGAGATGGGGGGGTACCTGCAAGACACTCTGATGGCAAAGTAAGTTGCGGAATGAGCAAGCAAGTGTGAGTTTAGAGAGATGAATTGAATACCTGACCCTCTTACGAGAGAGGGTATTTATAGCCCCCAGCGATGGGCCAAGGTTCCCACTCTTGGGCCACGTTGAGGTCCAATAACAGGAGCTGCCAGGGCTTACGTGTGTATGGAGTCCATCAAGTGGACTTCCCCCTGGTCAACTGCTCCGCGATAATAGGGTTGGACCCATGATTTTTGGAGGACAGTTTAAGATGGCTGTGGTGGAATCATGGGCCACGTCCTCCAACGGTTGGGTGGGGAGTTGCCCAACAGTCCCTAACTTGGGCTGTCTTTGGGCTTCCTGTTTGAAGGGCAAGTGTAAGCCTAATTCAGATCAATAACTAAGTTATGACACCCAAAAACGTTTTTCATTCCTATGTAATTCTATTATTCATGAATAAATATTACGCCTAAATACAAAAAAAAACGTTTTTCATTCCTATGTAATTCTATTATTCATGAATAAATATTAAGCCTAAATACAGTTTTGGTCTTCTAAATTTCTAGATTATTTTATTTTGGTCTTTCAAGTTTTATTTGTTTGATTTTAATCTTTTAAATATTTTAATTGTTTGATTTTGTTCCTCCAAATTTCAATTACTCAAATTTATCCTGTTTTATATTTGATAATCTCTTAATGATATGTAGATTAAATATTTTTTGTTATTTTTTCTTTTTTTTAAATTTTCTTCTCTATAATTTTTTTCTTCTTTTTTTAATAGTTAAGCTTTGAATGTAAAATCTTGAAAATCTTAAATATTTTACTCAATATGTGTCTAATGATAAATTATTTTGACAACAAAAAAGATAAATCACTAACTAATTAAAAAAATAAACTTTTTGGCCAATAACTCCCTCATACTTACCAAAAAGTCTCAAAGTCTAACAATCATATTGGTGAGTCGTATATAATTTCAATATTTTTACAAGAGATATTGTATGTTTGTTTCTATATTCTAAAATAATTTTGTTAAAAGGTTCACACGTATTATTGGTTAAAGAGTATGTTATTTTAATAGCTAGTGGCCTATCTTTTTTGTTGCCAATTTTTTTTGCCATTTAATATATATTAAATGAAATAATTAAAATTTTCAAGATATTTCGTTCAAAGCATGACTATTAAAAAGAGAAGAAAAATATAAAAAATAAAGGAAAAAAAAACTCCAAAAAAAATTTAAAGTCTACATGTCATTAAGAGACTACCCAAATAAATAAAAAAAACTTGAGAATTCCAAATCAAGCAATTGACAAACTTCAAAGGCCAAATTCAAATAATTGAAATTTAGAGAGCCAAAATCAAACAATTAAAAAATTCGACAGACTAAAATAAAATATTTGAAACTTAGAAGACAAAAATTAAATAATTAGGAAAATTTGAAGACCAAAACCATATTTAAAACTGCATTTAAGCTTAAATATTATTAACAACTCTTTATTATTCATTAATAAATATTACTGTATTAATTGAAAAATGGTTAGACTATTCAAATTTATTCCAAAAAAATCGCTAAACACATATTTAAAAAAATGATACTATAAAAACTGTTTTCGATTTTACTATAACTTCTATTTATTATCCAAAACTGTTATTATTATGTCTATTTAATAATTATTATTACTCAACCTCTCACTTTCTTCCTCACATATATATTTTAAAATTTAATGGAATAAATGAGTGAACAGTTCAATATCAATTCAAAAAGAAAATTAATTAATTTTTATCTTTATCTAATACAAAATCTTTTAGAAGATTTCATTTTCTTTTATATCTATTCAAATTAATTCTATGTCCATATTTTTTCATATAAATTTTATTTTATTATTTTAATCATATTTGAATTCATTTTATTAATATTAGTTTGATCATATTTAAATGCGTTTCATATTCATATTTATATTGTGTAATATAATTTTTAATTATCATTTTATAGATTTCGTAATTTGAATGAGACTCTAATCGGTCATATTTTCTATAAACAATAATCTTTGAACAAAGATTGAAATAATCGTGTCGAAAAATATGGATACTGATCAAACATTTTCTTACCTAGAAATTGAATTTGATATTCTCTAAAGTATATCATTAACATTTATCACTGAAGTCCAAATTACTTAGTACAACTTACTTAGTACAACTTTAAAATGGTAAAACTTAGACTTTCTTTCATAATATAAATTTTTATTTTTTATTAATATAAATTCTATTTATTATTTTAATCATTTGTTATGATCATGATTATTTTGATATAGATTGTTTATTATTGTTGTAATAAAAGTGCAATATTTAATTTTCATTTTAACTTAATAATTATGAATATTTGTTTTTTATTCTTTTTAATTGTGATCAATAATAATCTAAGAATCTACCTTCCATTTCAACTGACTTATTAAAAAAAATTAAAATCTACTTTTCACTATTTATGATTATTTATCAATCCAAATTTTAATTCAAACAAAAATTGAAACTCCATTTTACATTATCTACCGATAAAAAAAATTTATTGTAACTTTGTACATAGTACTAAATTCTAATTCTAAAACAATTCCGTCTCAATTTCTCACTATTTATTAATTATCTATCAATTCTAATCCTAGATCAATAATTGATGACTAGTAGAAATTTTAAAATTATATTTCTTACTATAGAAATTTTAACTGTTTAAATTATAACCAATCAATCGTTAAAATTATAATTTGACCCATGAAACTGTTGTTTTATATATTATTCATTCATTAAAATTATTAAAATTTTAAAATACAAACTAATTAATAGAGTTTAATATAATTCCTATAATATTTACAATTACATTGATCTTTTTATTACTCTTTAAAATTCAACCAATTCTCAAATATTATAATAAACACATATATAGTTATTATCTAGTTTTTAACAAAAAAGACAAAAACATGTAGGCGAGTGTTGTCAATATATAATATTGTTAAAACCACTAAAGTTTAACAGACCTTCTCTAAGAACTATAATATATCACATTTACTTCCCTTCGATTTTAAAATATTTGGAGTGGCAAACAATAGTAGTAACTTTTACTGTTTGTTTAAAGTGAATTAAAGATGAGAGAAGTGTAAGGGAGAGAGAGTAAGATGAGAAATGTACTTTTTCTTCTTCTTTCATCAAAAAAATAGAGGTGACCGATCAATTATGGTGGGTCCCATACACTTTTACTCTCTCCGCATATATGAGAAGGAAAAAAAACTGTAGCAACTATTTCAAATTGTTTATGTATGTTATAGATATCCATCGATGCAGATAAATATTTTGTACTTTAAAAAATAATTATTCTTCTCTCTCTTTTATTTCTTTTATATTTCTCTTGTAACCAAGAATCAATCAAATTTATTCTATTTCTTTCTCTCTTCTCACACACTCTCTAATCTATTTCTCTCTTCTCATTTTCTCTCCTTAACCAAACATAGCCTTAAGGAAATGATTCTCTTACAACTCACATTCACACTAGAGATTAGAGTGTAATTTTTCACTTATGATAGCAAAAATCAAAGTTAATATAATAAAAAAAAAAAAGCTACTTCATACTCAAGTGTTTGAGAATTCAACTTTTGCATCCAGCGTAGATCTCATTAAGCATTTTACTAGTACTAGAATTTTGAGATTTGCTTTGACTTCGATGATGAAGTTAGAGACCCAACCTTTAATCAAAATCAAAATAGTGGCATATTAGCATATCATAATGTGAACATTAAACCATAGAGAATCATTTCCCTCCTTTTTATACCCTTAAGCCGTTCCACATTCTCATCACTCATCACCAAATCCTTATCCATTTCACCAAACAACATCTTTCACTCTCACTCCAACTCAATTACACAATGAATCCACCAGGAACCATCGTTTTCAACACCGTAGGAAGAACACAATACGGTTTCGATGTTTTCTACACAGACCTCAAAAACCATTCCAACGATCACATCCTCACCGATGGTATCTCAATTAATTTCAACGCCCAATTCACCGATAACAAACAAACCATTGCATTCGTCTCAGAAAGAACCGGTTCGCCCCGTTTTTACCTATCCCGACCTGAAAATAAACCCGAACTCCTCCCTTCTATTCCTAACACACCCTTCCAAGACCGCCCCACAATTAAAAACGGTAAAATCTACTTCTCCTCAACGCACGTTCAACCAAACGCGCTTTTCAAAAGCTGGTCTGCTGTTTACTCCACCGCCATCGACGGCACCGGAGCTCTCACGAGGCTTACACCTCAAGGCGTTGTTGATTACAGTCCTGCCGTATCGATAACCGGAAAGTTTATTGCAGTTGCTTCATACGGTTCTCGTCGCTGGGATGGCGATTTTCGTGAGCTTCAAACGGACATCGTCGTGTTCGAAGACTCCGTCCCGGAGAACCGTGTAGTGGTAAGCGAACACGGTGGTTGGCCGACGTGGTTAGGAGATTCAACTATATTCTTCCACAGAATCGCCGATGACGGCTGGTGGAGCATCTTTCGAATCGACTTACATGACTTCAATTTAACCGGATCTCAATCTCAACAAACACCGATTCGAATCACACCACCTGGTGTACACTGTTTCACCCCCGCCGCATTGCAAAACGGTAACTATATCGCCGTCGCAACTCGCCGGAAAGAAAGCGATTTCCGTCACATCGAGATTTTCGATCTAGAAACACAGACATTTCAAAAAATAACAGAAGCAATAAACCCTAACTTCCATCACTATAATCCATTCGTCTCTCCTGATTCTTGCTACCTCGGTTACCACCGATTCAGAGGCGAGTCAACTCAGAGCACTCAGGGCGAGTCAACATACCCACACCTCGACCCTGTGATATCTCTGGTTGATAACATACGGTTACTAAGATTAAACGGTGCGTTTCCAAGCTTCTCACCGGATGGCGATTTCATCGCATTCAATCACGTTCTCGCAGAAGCAAACGGTGGCGTTAAGATCATAAGATCCAACGGTTCAAAACGATGGGGTTTATTAAAAGGAAAAATATGCTTCGGTAACGCATGGAGTCCAACGGAGAAGAACGTTATATACACATCAATCGGTCCAACATTCGAGTCAGTTACAAAAACGGTTCAAATCGGACGTGTGGAGTTCGACCCGGTTGACCTGACTGACGACCGTGAAGAGATTCCGTTTACGTTAACGATTCTTACAAAATATGATTCTGGAAATAATGCGTTTCCGTCATGTTCACCGGATGGGAAGTTTGTAGTGTTTCGTTCTGGTAGGTCGGGGTTTAAGAATTTGTATATAGTTGATGCAGTTAACGGAGAGATTAACGGAGGGTTGAGGAGGTTAACGGAAGGGGAATGGATTGATACAATGCCGAGTTGGTCACCGAGAGGTGATTTGATAGCGTTTTCATCGAATAGGCACGATGCTGGGAACAGTGAGGTGTTTGGGATTTATGTGGTGAATGTTGATGGGAGTGGTTTGAGGAGGGTTGAGATTGGGGGAAGTATGGATGGAATGAGGGAGAGGTTGAATCATGTTTGTTTTAGTGGGGATGGTGAGTGGTTGTTGTTTACGGGGAATTTGGGTGGTGTGACGGCGGAGCCGGTGGGGTTGCCGAATCAGTTTCAGCCGTATGGGGATTTGTTTGTGGTGAAGTTGGATGGGAGTGGGTTGAGGAGGCTGACGTGTAATGCGTATGAGAACGGGACGCCTACGTGGTATCATGGGGAGTTGTTGTTGTCGGATAGTGGTGGTGATGAGGAGGATGGTGATTGGGATAAGTTGAAAGGGGAGTTTCAAGAACCGCTGTGGATTACGTGTGACAATTGACGTCTGTGATGATGCTAGTGTTTTGTTACTATCAATATAATAACTTGAAATGTTGCTACAAATAAATTCATTTCTTTTGATTGGAGAACAAGAGAAATGAAGAAGAGAGAACAAATAGCATGAATGGGAAGAAAGAGAATAGAATGTTGACTATATTGTCTTTCTTTATACTATGAAATGTATTTATTTTTGAGTATTAATTTAAATAAAATAACAAATTACATAAATATTTGAATGGAAATATTTAATTTAATTAAGTAATTATTAAATAAAGAAAAATTATTGAATTAATTAATAACTAAAAATTAATTTAAATAAAAAATTAATTATATTCAAATAAAAAAATAATAATTATTAATATAAGAATAATTTAATCATCTCAAAATTAAACACACTTCTTTCTCTTCTTTCTATTCTCTTTCTCTTAAATCAAATAAATCATTAAATTTACTTATATATTTTTTATCTCTTTCTCTCTTTTCACGCTCTCTCACACCTCTATCTCTCTTCTTAATTTCTTCTCTAACCTAATCACATCCTTAGAGTTTTGTAATATGGATGTTGAGGTTTACGTTATTGAATTGAATTGAAGGTTGTAATATTCTATGGCAGTCTTGTAATGAATGATTGGGAAGTTATAAAATAGGGACACGAGGCTGGTATTTTGATTTGTAACCTTCATTGTTAGGTCAAGTGCATTTTGTACTAACGATTTCGATTCATTTTTCTAATTTTGTAAAGCATATTTCCTCTCTAATAAAATTTCGTTTAAGATTTTTGTGTACATATTAAAAAATATAATAATATTTTCATAAGATAGTGTATTTTCATTAAATTAACTTTATAAATGTATTGAAATTATATCAAATAATAATTAAAGAACACTTGAAAAAATAATTATACATCTTGAAAATTCTTGAAGGACCATTCAAAACAGAACCGTTATAATCTATTTAAAAATGGGATCGGAGATCGAATTGATAAGACTTTTAATTTAAGATTCATTTGGTTCAATCGGTTATACCTACGGTCGAACCGTTTATTAAATAAATTAACAATATAAAGCTAAATGTTATGGATAAGTCATATAATTACTCATTCCGTTTCAAAATGACCGTCATTTAAGGTTTTTGCACACAAAATAAGAAATGCAATGATATTGTCATAAGAAATTACACTTTTATAAAATTAACCATATTAATGTATTTGAAGTAGTGTAGAGAGTAAAAAGTAAATGACACAATTGAAAAATAATAATCATTACTACATTGAAAAGTGAAAATGAGAATATTTTGAAACAAAACTCATTTGTTAAAACGATAGTCATTTTGAAACGGAGAAAATATATGTTAACAAATTAATAAACTAAATATTTTAAAAATACATTGCAAACTTATGCTATGAGATTAATGATAGAAATAATTACACAATATAATGATAAGGTTAAAATAAACAAAACTATAATATAGTGTTATAGTTTAGAAATTTGTGTTGTTCTTTTGTGTTAAAGAAAAAGTTTTTGGTCAATGACAAATATTTCTTTGAATCAGACAATTTTACAAAACCGTCTCCGATTCTTTGGTTCGAACGATTTGAGTGATTCAACCAGATTTTTTCAATTTTACTCCGATTTTGACCCATCTACAGTTTTAGAAGGCTAACCAGACCGAGGTCACTTCTGGTTCCCGGTCCAACCAGTTGAACCAGACAATTCGGTCTGGTTTTTAAAACATTGGTTATGATATCCATGGAACAATCAATGGTTAAATCCATTACAAATTGGTTAATGGTTAAGTCTGTTACAAGTGATTAATGGTTACTAAAACTGTACATTCAAGAAATATTAGCTTTGATCGGGTCATAAAGTCGTCTGAAAAGGGAATAAAATGAGTATATAGCCAATAATGATGAAGAGTGCCCAGGACGAGGTGTAACTCGACTAAAGATCAAAGACGGAAGTCATTGTATCCGGGCAATAACCCATTTACGTTACCAACTCGGATATCGCACGTAACCGGAGTCCACCTGCTCGTAACCGACTAGCAGTCCGACCCATTAATGATTGCAATGGTTGTCCGCCTTCGACAATGAAGCAAATGCAAAAACAGTCCGGGTAAGATATCTAATCGTTAACGCTGCCTCCCCTTACAAAATCATCATAGGCATGCCATCTTTCAACGCTTTGGAAGCAACACTTTCAACCTTATACCTCACCATGAAGTACCCACTGGGAGAGGGCCGGGTCGATGTCGTCAAGGGCGACCAAGGCCTAGCAAGGAAGTGCTACAAAGATAGTTTGAAACTAAAAAAGAAGAACTTAACAGGCAGTGTCGAGAAGTCCAACGACCTCAAAGTCTATCTCGTCGATATAGATCCCCATAATTATCTAAACGAGGATAGTTTATCACCTAATAAGGAGACCAAGCAGGTTCAAATAAGTTATCTGCCCTCCAAGATTACTCACATCAGTGCTAACTTATCCCTTGAAGAAGAGAACGAGATCATAAAAACTCTAAAGGAGAATGTAGACCTATTCGCCTGGAAACCATCGTACATGCCAGGGATAGACCCCAACATTATGTGTCACCCCTTGGCCTTCGATCCCGACATAAGGCCAATATCTCATAGAAAACGGAAAAGGAGTAAGGAAAAAAGAAAAGCTATCACACATGAAGTTGAAAAATTGTACCAAGTCAAGTTCATTAAAGAAATCAAATATCCAACCTGGTTGTCCAATGTAGTGATGGTCAAGAAGAAATCGGGAAAGTGGCGCATGTGTGTTGATTTCACCAACCTCAACAAAGCCTGTCCCAAAGATCCGTACCCGTTACCCAATATTGATCGCCTCATAGATGGGGCTTCTGGGTTCAGACAGCTCAGTTTCATGGATGCTTACTCCAGGTATAATCAAATCCGAATGAGCTTGGTAGACGCTCCAAAAATGGCTTTCATAACCACACAGAGAAACTATTACTACGACGTGATGCCATTCGGCCTCAAAAATTCAAAGGACACCTATCAGAGACTGATGGACAAAGTGTTTGCCACGCAAATCGGCAGGAACTTAGAGGTATATGTGGATGACATGGTCGTCAGAACAACGGAAGAACAGCTCCACGTCAAATATTTAGAAAAAACATTCATTTCAATAAGAAGCTACAACATGAGGTTAAACCAAGACAAATGTACCTTTGAGGTGCAAGCCAGAAAATTTCTCTGGTTCATGCTCATTAACCGAGGACCAACATAGAATTCACATCGAGAACCATCATTAAGTCGCAAGTACTGGCCAATTTCTTGGTCAAAATAAGCGCACCCACATGAGAAGACAACGTCTGCAAATTGGTCATTTATATGGACGGATCATCCAATCTTAAAGGAAGCAAAGCGGGAATCATACTCGAAGGTCTGGGTGATTTCATGTTGTAATATTCCTTATGCTTTAAATTCCAAACTAGTAACAATCAGGCCGAGTATGAAGCACTGATAGTAGGAATGAAATTGGCCCAAGAGGTAGGGGTAACACACTTGACAGTCAAGACCGACTCACAACTAGTGGCAGGGCAAGCGAGAGGAGAATATCATACGAAGGACTCTTCCCTGGTCAGATATCTGGAGACATCCCTCTGAATATCTAGGAATTTCACAGAATTCGAAATCAAACATATTCCCCGGGAAGAGAATGCATAGGCCGACCTCTTAGCCCGATTGGCTAGTAGAAAGGGTTCGAGGCTTAACAAGACTGTAAAACAAGAGGTTATGGAAAAACCCAGCACAGAGAACGAAGAGGTCATGGTGGTTGAAGACGTAACGAGCTAGATGACACTAATAATCCAGTATCTCATACGGGGAACTTTTCCTGAGGATTCTAACGAAGCTCGGCGTGTTAAGAAGATGTATGCCTGCTACCTCATAGTGGCCGATAAGTTTTACAAGATGGGAAGACCAACACCTATGTTAAGATATGTGTCGGAAGGTGAAACAACATTGGTAATAAAAGAGGTCTATGAAGGAGTGTGTAGGATTCGCATTGGAGGAAGAGCTTTATCCGGAAAAATTCTCAGAGTCGGGTACTATTGGCCCTGCATGTTACAAGACTGCACCGAGTTTGTAAACAAATGTGAAAAGTTCCAGGTATTCGCTCCATTTATACATTCTCCTGCCGAGCTACTACACTTTGTCTTCTCCCCTTGGCCATTCTATCAATGGGGGAGAACATCTTAGGTCTGTTTCCCACTGCACCATGACAACTCAAATTTCTAATCGTATCGGTGGATTACTTCACAAAATGGATAGAAGATGAGGTTGTATCTCGGATCACAACCGAGAAGGTACGTCATTTTATTGGAAAAACATTATATGCAAATTTTGTTTACCTAGGGTCATAGTATCCGACAGTGGACCCAATTTTCGAGCGCCTCCGTGGAATTTTATAAGGACCTGGGTATCCAGAACCGGTTAACATCAATTGAACACCCTCAAGCAAACAGGCAAGCTGAATCTGCCAATAAGATCATCCTGATAGGGATAAAGCAAAAGTTGGACGAAGCCAAAGGACTATGGTCTGAGTACTTTCCTGAAATCCTCTGGTCATATCACACGACACTGCACTCTACCACCCGGGAAACTCCTTTCTGAATGGTGTATGGGGTTGATGTTATGATACCGATAGAGATCAAAACTCCAAGCTAGAGACGAGCACACTTTATTGAAGATATCAACAAGGATGACTTGGACAGTTCCATTGACCTGTTAGATGAAGTCAGAGAAATGGCCCAGATTAGAGAATTCACAGCCAAGCACAGGCTAGCTAAGAGGTTGAACCTGAAGGTCAGACAAAGAGGGTTCCATATAGTAGATCTAGTTCTAAAAAGAATCATTGATCCAAAGAACAAAGGGAAGCTTACTCCTAATTGGGAAGGTCCGTTTTGGGTTCTTCAGAAGCTGAACAACAGAGATATAAACTGGAAACATTGGAAGGCATATAAGTACTTAGGACC